TCATAAACTTGAACAAGGCTGTGGAATGCGCCCGCCTCTTCTAGCCAGAAATGGCCTCCAAAGACCGGCATCATGTTTGACTATATCTGCCGTGGCCGTCTATCCATATCCCAAAAAGAAGCCCACGGTCGCTCATCTCCGCCGACACTCGTTGCGGTAAGAGGCAGGTGACACAGGTCGTCGACTTGCCGTCATGCGAGGGAAGCACTTCATATCTTGATCCCTTGTTATCTTGTTCTCCGCACTTGCAGATCCTGAGGGGAGCCACAGAAGAGCGACGGTGATGCCCACCTCTATCGCATCCCCAGGCCGGCGGACTGTGTTATGGACCTTTCTCACAATGGCAGGTCGAGAACTCCATGTCGACAGGCCGCATAGGCATACCAAATCCATTGGTTGCACCCCTGGATGTTTGAGATAAAACCATGATAGAGAGCTGCGAGATCGTCGGCATATGGCCGAACTGGTCATGTCCCGTCGTATACCCTGAGCCAGACATATATTAACGAGATGTGTTCTCGTATGCCTATGTTCTCTCAGCGAAACCTGCCCAGTCTCTGGTCGACTCGCCAAGATGAAGGACGACATTGAAACACACCAGACGAGGGTGACCTCCGTCGAGAGTATCGACGAAAAGCTTGTTGACTATCGGGATGTGGACGCAGCCCTTGGTTTTTTGCGGGCCAATGCCAGTGCTGGGCAGGCAGTTGACATTGACGAGAAGAAGCTCATGCGGAAGGTCGATTGGATGATAATGCCATTGATGTTTGCCTGCTATTATTTGCAGTATACTGACAAGACTTTGCGTGAGTTCACACGCGGTGAACCCTCGTTCAAACGCTGCTGACCATGGTATAGTCTCCTATGCCGCGATTATGGGCGTCATTGAGGACACCCACATGCCGTCGAATGGCTTCTCGAATTTGGCAATCGCCTTCTATGTCTCTTTCCTGTTCTGCGAGCCACTTCAGTCGTTCTTCATCCAGAAGTTCCCGACCGCAAAGTATTTGGGCTGCAATGGTAAGTGCAGGCATCATGTGCCTCGGAAGCAGTATGCTGATAATGCAGTGATTCTATGGGGCATCGTTGTCTCCCTGAACTGTGTCTGCCACAATTTCGCATCCATTGTCGCGCTTCGGGTCTTGCTCGGCATGTTCGAATCATGCGTCGCTCCTAGGCAAGTGCGGTCATGGTTCGAGCCGAAAATGTGTCTGACCGCTTACAGTCTTGTAATCCTCACGGCCATGTGGTACAAGCGGCATGAACAAGTTTCACGGATGGGGATCTGGTACCAAGGCGTTCGTCCCCCCTTTCCCATTCAAAGAGTCAATGTTACTAGCAGGTCGTCTTCGACCGAGGCTAACAGATAGATATGTTATAGACATCGGTGGCCCCGGCCGTGTCTTCTTTGGCCTCATACGGCTTCCTCCACTACACAGACTCCCACCCGCACCTCCATTTCAAGTCGTGGCAAATCCTGTTTCTCGTCTTTGGGATCATCACAATCGCTATTGGCATCTTAGTCGTCCTCTTCCTTCCGGATAACCCTATGAAAAGCCGGTTGTCTGCCGAAGAGAAAATCTACATTATCGAGCGAGTCCGCGAGAATCAGACTGGAATTGAGAACAAGAAATTGAAGACCAAGCAGGTCAAGGAGGTGCTCCTTGATTTCAGAACTTGGCTGCTGAGTTTGGTTGTCATCACCACCAACGTGCCCAACGGCGCCGTGAGCTCTTTCTCAAGCATTATTATTGAGAAGTACATCAAATCAGACCCATTTATACATGTTCTTGCTGACCTTTTTGAAAGCTTTGGTTTTGATGAATACACAACGCTGCTCCTCAACCTCCCTGGATGCGCGGTCGCTTTTGTGTCAGTCGGCTTCGGAACATGGTGGGCCGGCAGATATAATGGCAGGGGCATCGCAATCATTGTTCTCACGATCCCGACCTTGCTCGGAGGGGCTTTGATGGCCTGGCTGCCTCCTTCAAACAAGGGTGGCTTGCTCACGGGCAATTACTTGACTAATACCGTCGGTGCTAGTAAGTGTGGACTTTGCGGCAACCCCCCATAACAGCTGCTGACAGTTGTAAGCTCTTCCGTTGATGTACAGTTGGATCACATCGAACTGTAAGTGTCTCTCAAGTACCAATTTTAGGACATACAGCTAATGACTCGTAGATGCTGGACACACAAAGAAGATCACGATGAACGCAATTGTACTGATGAGCTTCTGTGTGGGCAATGTAAGTCCCCCCAAAGACACACTCCGACGAGGAGGCGCGGTAGGTATTTCAGGTCCCAGGACCCGAGTTTCACGCCGGGAGCGCCTCCGACAAGCTTGCGTCGTTACCTGTTTGAGAGGAGATATTGCTAACACTCTCTTCACTCAAAACCAGATCATTGGGCCCGAGACTTTCCGCGCCAAAGATGCGCCTCAATACATCCCGGCAAAGCTTACCATTGTGGTGATTCTCTCGGTTGCCATTGTTCTGGCCATTACACTGGATTTGCTCTACGCGCGGGAGAACAAGAAGAGGGACCGCGAAGGCCATCAAGATCTGCCTCAGGATTACGAGTTCCTTGATTTGACCGATAAAGAGAACAGGAACTTCAGATATCTGCTATGATTGGTTTTTGTCCCCTGGCAGCAAGCAAGGAAGGGAGCGTGGATTGGTCGCGGATGTAAAGTTCCAGAGGTTAAATGAAGGCAGGACTGCAGGTACATATATAGTCACGAGCTTACATACATGGCGATATCCTCAATCGCAGACTTATATAGATAGGATCACGAACGACTATGGACAAGATCGAGTTTCATCTCCGCCAGCAAGCGAACAGACCTCTTAGGCGAATTTGCGAAAGGTAAGGCCGTATGAATGTATGAAAGTTCACCGCCGCCGCCATCACCATCATCATTGTAATCATTATCGGGGGTTGCACAGCTCCATCATCTCTACATTAGCGAAATTGTTAGGCTCGTTGTATTATGTCTACTGCGTACTTAGCTGGGACCAAGCCCATATCTCTACAACCGTATTGGCCCACTGTCCCAGGCCACAACAAGGGCTACGCTAGGACAGAAATAAAAAAAAAACCTCACAATATACCAACTTCTCCGACATTCCATGGGGAAGAGATGACCGAAAATTTACAGGTAAAAGCAAAAACAATCAACAGTCAGGATTCCCAAGTGGTCACCCACCTTAGTACTAACTGACCGGCATGTGGCTTAAGTATGGCTGAGCGAACGGGAAGCCCTGTTTTCCACATCCTATGGTCGATTGCGACAAGCTTCGTGCATTAATATTACTTCAATATCAAATTTTGTTTGGTGTAACGCCTTTATTCGCAGTGAGCCGGGGCGGGGCAGGATGGCTTTGGAGCGAAATTCGCTCTGGGCTTGCGATCCGCGCCGGGCTTGTTTTGCTGCTGTGGAGTACATTAATCGATGCAAGTATCTGCAGCCATCGCGTCGAAGTTGCGCATGAGAGATGAAAGAGGGAGAAAAACAGACGGGAAGATTAAAAAAAGGAGGGGGAAAGAGAAATAATTGAGGGAGATATTGCATATATACATGGAGAAGAAGGCTTTGACTACGGCTGATGTGCCTGCCCGATTCCTCCAGGCCGCGTTGCTCGTCGGTCACATCCCCTTGAGGGCCGTGGCATGCGACCCGCGCGTCTCTTATGCGCTCTACGTCCCGCCACACCACTATAACCCCAGCCCGGCCCAGGGCGAGGACAAGGTTCCGCTCCTCGTGTACATGCACGGCACCAGACGAGACATCTCGGCGATCCACGACGCTCACGGCCTCGTTGCCTTCGCCGAGACGACGCCGTGCGCCGTGCTCGCGCCCTTGTTCCCTGCGGGCCTCGACGGGGCCAACGACATCGACTCGTACAAGTTGCTACGATCGAAGACGCTCCGGTCAGACCTGGTGCTCCTGTCCATGCTTGATGAAATCGCACAGCGGTGGCCGGGCGTCCGAACGGAGAAGATATTCATGATGGGCTTCTCCGGCGGAGGCCAGTTTGCGCATCGGTTCTTGTATCTGTACCCAGAACGGCTGGCTGCTGTTAGTGTGGGAGCGCCGGGGCGGGTCACAAGTTTGGACAGTCAGAAGAAGTGGCCGATGGGCGTCGCGGACGCGGAGGCTCTCTTTGGTCGGACTGTCCAGGCAGATCTGCTCAGGAAGGTCCCGATCCAACTGGTCATTGGCAGTGCTGATACTGTCGTCCACGGCGGGGAAGAGTTCTGGGTCTGGCACCGAGAGATGAAGGCTCGAGACGGGAGTGGAAGAGTCGAGGCGGGAGACTGTGAGAACGGCGACCTGCCACAGATGGATCGGGGAAGGCTTGAGTCGATTCGTGGCTTGCAGGCCATGTGGAAGCGGCATGGCATTGATTCACACCTCGACATTGTGCCGGGCGTGGCTCATGATGATAAAGGGGTTCGAGAATCCGTCCTTCAGTTCATGCGCCCTCATTTGCAGGCTTGAGGCAACATGTGCCACCTGATATAGGTTGAGTTAGAAGTTCAGCAAAAATATGCGGTCGTGAAATGCATTCGTCCTTCCTCCAAACGATCCGCTCTAGCTTTGGCTTTGCTGTAGAGTTTCTTTTCCACTCTCATGGCTGTTTTGGTCGCGCCAGAGCAGTGAAGCAGCAAAAGCAAGCACTGGCCTGCCATAGCCCCCGGAGACAGCATGGTGTTGTCTCCAACAGCTTCTCAACGACAGGGCCAGCGATGATCAATCCAGACCGACCCATATTGCGACCGAAGTCCTTTGGAAGTGAGCTACCGGTATGAAGCTAGGATGATATGGTCGGTTGGTGAGAGGCCCCGCTAAAGATCCTAAGACGCTGCTCACAACCGCGGTGGGAGGTGGAGGGTGGTGGACTTGGCGGATGACGAGGCCCACATCGGCGGCATCGACGGCGGAGGTGGACAAACTCTCCCTTGGATTTCTCCTTCATTCTAGTTGCCCAGATGCCATCATGGAAGCCGGTGAAGATGGTGCTTCCCTCTCCCCTGATCCACGTCCGCTGACGGGCGTTTCACCCCTCCATTCTCGCGCCCTGATCTCATGCAGTTTCTGCCGCAAGAGGAAGAGAAAATGCGACAAGACTCTCCCCGACTGTTCCTTCTGCCGAAGGTAAGTTCGTGCCTCTATCTGCACCAGCCGACTGAGGGAGGACGCGCCATACATTGATCAACTGTCTCTAGACACAGGAGGAGATGTGTGTATCCCCAGCGCAGAGCGCCGCTCCTGACAGTGGAGGAAGTGTCTCTGTCTCCGTCCGCAAAAACACATGTCGAACCTCATCCATCAGAGGCAGTGGTTGTCTACTTTCTGGACCACAATATCTTCAGATGCGGACAGATGGTGGTCACAGACGTCCACCCCGCCGTTCCCGAAAGCGTCTTGAGCCTCTTGGGGGATTTTGCGTCCGTCCAGAAGGACGCCGCAGAATATTTTAGGACCGTCCACTGTTGGTGGTCTATCATTTCCAAGCATTCTTTTTACAACCAACTACTAAATCCTCTCGTGCCAAGGCAAGGAGATGTCAGTCTGCTCTTACTTTGCATGAAATTGATTATCTGGAGGCCGTCCGAGGAAAGGCAAGACCCACGCACTGCGTTGTATCTTGCTGCGAAACACTATTCGACAGAGCTGGAGGTGGCGGGAGTCTTCAGCATCCGTGGGTTACAGGCAGCTGTGCTGATTGCAGTCTACGAATACGCCCATGGGATCTACCCGTCTGCATTCCTCTCTGTCGCCTCCTGCGCCAGATATGGGAGAGCTCTTGATATCAACCTGACTCTGACAGACACTTCTGGGGTGACCATGGACTGTTTTGGATCAGAAGAAAAGAGACGGCTGTGGTGGGCAATTCTCATTCTCGATCGTTTCGCAAATATAAGCGGTCCGGGAAGACGCGACTTCGAGATTGATGATCCAAGTCCAAGAGATCTTCTACCCGCCGATGATGCGGCCTGGGACGCGGGCATGGTTACCGCATACGATGGAATGACCATCTCGTGTCCGTCGACGGAGCGAATGGGTAGATTTGCAAAATTGGCACAGGCGACACATCTCCTCTGTCGAGTCCTCCGGCATGTTGGCGATCGGGCAATGGACCCAGAATTCCGTGAGAGCCAGGAGCGTCAACTAGAGAAGGCAATTCAAATGTCAATCCGCATGGTCAGTGGCGTCCTTAAAGGTCCCGCAGGCGCTCATGCCCAAATCTGTTATAGGTAAGTGTACTATCTCAGGATGATAAGCATTGTCTGGGCTCATCAGAGGAAGTTCCCTGTTCGTCCTTTATGACGACGCCTTCAACATCGAGCCATCAACTCCGGCTGAGCTCATACGGCGCGATCATGCGCGCGATTTGCTAGAGCGAGTCTCGAAGACCTGCTCGACCTCCTCGGGTCACTTCCTACAGGGTAATGCACTCCCTGTCGAGATGGTAGCTCCGTTTGTTCTGCATTGGAAGTATCGAGCAGCATCCTTTTATGTCCGTATGGGCAGAGAGAGCTCCAACAGCGATCATGCAAGGAACTTAGAGATTCTCAAGATGGGACTGAAGAAACTTGATGCTAGGTGGAAGATTGCAGGTATTTGAAGTCCACTCTCGAGATGGCTGATTGAGTGAGTAATCATTCGCAGGAACCTATCTACGAATGCTTGAAGCCAGGGAAGTCATGCTCTGCACCTAGACGCAACTAATACGGCATCCACTTCTCCCCTTGTCTCTCCGCCAAATGTCCGTCAAATTCCACCGACTCCGTCGCCCTCCACCAGTTTCCTCCTTGTCCACCTACCGCCATCTACCTCCACATCCTTGAGTTGATCGACACAAGGTTCTGTCACATGCATACTGCTTTCAATAAATCTTTGCGAGGCTAGTCAGCGCTAATCAATGCAACTTGCAAATCATGGCTGCAGCCTTTGACCATCAGTCGACCCGGGGCCCCAGATTTTGTCACGCTTATGAATTTTAGCCGACTTTGTTCAATCGCTATACAGGTGTGATAGCATAGAATTGTCGACCATACCGTCGCCGTATCGTCCTGTCAGACGTAAGCGGGACCGAGGGTCGAAGGAGATCTGCGAGGAGATCTATTTTTTGAATACTCATCAGCTGGGACTATCTGACGTGTTGATCTGAAGCAGTGATTGGATCCAAGGCAGGCCGTTGACCTCATATCTCGGGTCCATTGTGCAAATATATATTGGAGTACTCAGCGCCCACCGTAGGCGTATTCATCAACGCTCTCTGGTTCAGTCGAACATCTTTACACGGGAAGACATTATCCTGCAACAGCAGCATCAACCGAGGACTCCAAGCCAAAATGCCTATTTACAGGGTAAGCCGTGTCGGCTTTGATCAAGCTCCTCACTTGATGGCTCGAGCCGTGTTTGAGCTCTCGTCCCTCAATATTGCCCGCTCACAATCTCCCTCATAGATCCAACATTCCTACCCCCTCACGCAGTACCAGAAATCCCTTTTGGCCCACAAGATCACCGTGTTACACAGCACCGAATTCCTGACCCCGTCACTCTTCGTCAACGTCCACTACGTGCCCGGCGAGCCCGTAAGTGATTTCTTCCTGGCCGGGAAGCCCTATAACCGCGGCCTCACATCGCCGAACCGCATCATGGGCACTGTGCGGACGGGCCCGAAACGCACAAAGGAGCGATTCGACGCTTTTGCTAAGCAGCTCGAGGCGGCCTGGTATGAGGTCGTCAATGGGCCGAAGGAGGAAGGCCAGGCCAATGGTCGTGGTAGTGTCAATGGCCACGGAGGAGAGGTCAGCAAGGAAGAAAGATTGGCGAGAAAGCTGCACATTGTGGGCTTTACGCCGGTGATCGGCGGGCTCGAGAACGGAGTGCTTCTCCCAAGTGTGAGCTTTTCTTCCCGTTGCCGTTACCGTGAAATTTATTTCCTCCTCCTCAAACTCGACCTTGGCTTCCTCAGAACAACGCTAACAACTTCTTTCCTTCTCCGATCTAGGCTGATAACGAAGCGACATGGCTAAAGGACAACATGGCCTTCTTCAAGGAGCAGGCCGAGCTCTACGACGACGAGCCGTTCCAGAATCTGCTCCAAGAGTTGAAGGAGAGGCCTGACTTGAGAAAGCTGGTCGAATGAAGGGACGGAAAAGGGCACGGGGCTTTCACCATGTCTGGGCGCTGAGCATAATAGCTTGGCCTCGACACAGATGGTTGACGACGACTGTGAAAAGGGGAGGGAGCAAGGACGAGAGGGAGCGCAAGAGCAAGAGGCTTGAACCCTGCCTGCTAGCTATCCGGCCAGCTGACAGCCTCATCACGGGTCAAGTTAGATAGTAATGATGTTTTGAATAAAATCAATCGGTGGTAAATTCAGCGCCTTTTTGATACGACACACGCTCTGTCTGTCGGCCGCGGATGTCGAACTTTGATCATATTCGGGTCCCCCCTCACATTCCCGCTACATTCAGAGCGTGGTAATGTCTTGGTAAATCCGTCCCCACATGCCCCGTCTTGCGTTTGCTTCCACTCACAGTCGGCTCTCGCCGCCTTCCTTCTCCTTGACGACTAGGCCCCGCTGCGACTCCCACACCGTGTCCCAGATGCGCATGCCGCGGTCCCACAGATCGTCCTCCTTGTCCTCGACCACGTTGCCCTCGTGGTCCAGCCACCTCAGAGACCTCTCCCCGCGCGCAGCAGCAGCGCCGGCGTCGTGCAGTTTCTCCCCCGCCAGGAACCTGCCGAACGGCTCCAGGAAGCGCTGGATCACACGCTTGTCCTGCGCCGTGTAGTCGGCGCGCCAGCCGCTGGCCCACCATATGGGCGTGTCGAGGCCGTGACAGACGCCGACAGCGGGCGAGATCCAGTTGTCGAGGTTCTTCGCCCTCCACGAAATCCGGTACCGGTGCAGGTTGGCCCGCGGTAGGGGTTTGACTGCGGCGCCTGCTTTCTGAGAAGGCGGGTTGAGCACGATGTGCGTGAGGCCCCGAAGAGAGGCGTGCACCTGCGCGTCCGCCACAATCTGGCTGAACACCTCGGCCCACTCGGCCGCGTTGGTCGAGGTGCTCGCCGGCATCGAGTACAGCGGCAAGAGGGCCTTGACCACGTGCGCAGGGTAGTAGTTGGCCAACTGCGTCACGAGGCCCTGGTATGAAGAGGGCGGATTGACGATTTTGTACAGTTCCTTTTCGTCGCAGACTTCGCCGAGGAAGATGGAGATGTCGTTTTCGGCGAGGCGCGTAGCGAACGAGCCCGAATGCAGCGAGGAGAGGAATGTGCTGGGGATAAAACAGTTATCGGTGGAGGCGCGGAAAGTGTGCATTTTCATCTTCGCCAACGACGCGATCAAGTCCTTGGCCGGGATCTGGCGGAGTCGCTCCAGTTTCTCGCGCGGACTGCTTGAGAGAGGAATGCCAAATATGGCGCAGAGATCGTTGAACTGTTGCGTCAGCACCGGGGAAGTGGTCGGGTTCGGCTGGATCGCCACGGCGTTGGACCACAGGTACACTCTCCTGACCAGTCTCTTTTCTCGAGGGAGGAGAGTGTCGTAGTTGAGCTGGAAAAAGGTGCTGTTCGCACCCGCAGACAGTCCTCCTACTGTGATGTTGGATGCGTCGCCGCCGAACAGGTGGATGTTCTTTGCCACCCACTCCAACGCGCACCGTTGGTCCCACAGGCCGTAGTTTGACGGGGAAGCGTCTTCCTTCAGACTGGCAAGTTCGGAACCAGCTAGGAAACCGAACAGGTTGAGGCGATAGGTTGGCGAGACGATTATACGGGGCGTGGTGTGTGCCATGAGGTCAAAGGGATCCGTGTCGTTCTGTTGTAGGGCGTCACCGACTTGGAGCCAGCCCCCGTGGATGTGGAATTGAACAGGCCATCCTTTCTCATTGGGGGCAGGTGAGGCTGGGACCCAGATGTTCAGGTAGAGGCAGTCTTCATCCTGGACATTATCCACGGGCGGAGCTGCATTCGGGTTCGCCACGGCGATGGAGCCATGGTCGTAGTGAGGCTGTGGGCAGATGGGCCCGAAGCGTGTGTAGTCTCCCGGGGTTCCTTGCGGGTCGTTAAACGTAAAGTCCTCCGGTAGGGCTTGGGGTCGACGCCAGCGACGGGACCCCGTCGGGGGAAGTGCATAGGGAACTCTCGTGAAGCGATATAGAATAGGGTTTCCCACCAGGTCGCGTTGTTCGAGACCCTTGAGTGACCCCCGGGATGTCTTTAGTATGTATGGATGGGAGGTTGATTCTGTTGAGCGCATTGTGACCTTGTACAGCTGGTTTGTTGAGAAGGTCTCAATCCAGATATTCAGATTTCGCACGCTCGGGGCGGTTATTTATTTATCTATCATATATTGTCGCGGAACAGGGCTGCCAACGCAGATGTCCAACTTTGCTGTACCGAGGACACAGAAGGCAGAAGCAAACCCCCTTTGCAAGACTCAAATGTTCGACAACATAAAAAAGCAAGCAAGGTCGAGACTGACAATGTCTCAACCGACTCCGAACCAATAATGGAACCGAGGAAAGACCATGCGGCGTTGATCTCCATCGGCATTTGATTTAACTCCGCCCCGCTTCCCGATAGCGGACGTTTTCCGCCGGCATTCAGCGCCGAGGCTCCGGAGAGCAAGGAGAAAATGGGGAGGAAGGAGAACAGAATCGCGCAATCCTTTCTCAATGGTTGTGCATCTCGGACGTTGCCTTCAATGACGAGTGGCGACCTCTCCTTTCATAACAGGGGCGGAAATCTATACACTGTAGCTGGAGGGAAGGGACCCTAGCACACAATATAAACTACCATTTCTAGATTTTCTCTGTGATATGTACGGGGTGTGTTACGCAGAATGAGGCAAGACATGAACTCGATTTCGAGACCAGTTCAGGACAGTGAGAGAGAAGGCGAGGAGGTATATTAGATATAATGCAGTGGCTCTATTTGTGCTCTGGTCATGGTGCCCGTTTTTTTTCAAGTGTTTGCCGAGCCTGGCAGCTCTGTCTATTGCTTCAGCATGTCCAAGCACGACAAGGTTGTTTGTCCACCGTTGGACTTCAAACCTACTTGTAGGTCATTAGTTGCCTTGGGTGTGATGTCCACGGGTCAGCGGTTTCGGCTACATCGGTCTTGGTGGGCGGCACCAGCGGGAGGCTTGATCGGCATGAGGTCACGATGGCTAAATAAAAGCCACAAGCGAGAAATGTGGCTCGCACCAGGTTGACCAGGCTGATCTGTTATTAGTGCTCGATGACATATGCACCTCCAAGAAGCAACATCTTTGTTGTGTCTCGGGTTGTTTTCTGGAGCTTGCCATAGAAACAGCTGACATTTCTTGTAACTTGCAATTTCTCTTCCTTTTTCCCAGGCCCCAAGAAGTCTGAAATTTGTCGACAAAATTAAGATCAGCAGTGAGCTGTCAGGGGAGATCATCAGGCTATCAGATTCTGGACCGAAGACACCCCGGCTGGACTGCGACGATCCAAACAGGTTGAAACAGACAGAAACTCACTCAACTATTGGCTGTGTGGGGAATTTCACATGGAAGCAAACAAATCCCCTATTCCCGGTGCCGTCGTGGTTGACCAAGGGTTGACGTGACTTGCAGACGGAAGC